CCCAGTGCGTGGGAAATGCAGTTAGACGCGCTCGGTGGCGATGATGTTGCCATTGGCAAATTCCAATTTGCTCGCGCCCCACGCGCGCGTCGGTGGTTTCGCGCTGTGCGAGGTCGGCTATGTCCTGGGCGCGGCGAGCAGAACCACTGTCCAAAATCCGCGTCCGTGACAACATTGCCGTTGACCACGTGTTGACCACGTCGGCATGGTGGGCTCGGTCGCGGGCTTGGCCGCCGACGCCGGGCCGTCGTCGGACGGCGGGGCTGGCGCCGCGGCAAGTCTGGCCGGGGTAGGAAGGTCGTCGCGCCACTTCTGCGTCTCGAGCCGGCAGGCTCGGAGCGCCTCGGCGCCGTCCTGCAGCCGCCAGTCCGGCGGCGGGTAGGGCGCGACAAGGGGTCGCCCCTGTTGGCTTCGGCAGCAATGTGGCCAGTCGCCGCCGCATGGGCACAGGGTCGGCGGCGACGCCGATGTTGTCGAAGTCGAAACGCATGTGACGTCGCGGTTCTGCGGTGGCGCGCGTAGATGCGGCCGCCGAGGACTTTTCGCGAATCGCGCGCGTTTGGTCTCGTCGCTGGCCGCGTCGCGGCGCTGCATGTGCGCGGCCCCTGTAGCGCGTCGTGGGCAACCGCGCGCCGCTGCTGCCGCTGCTGCCGCTACTGCCGCTGCTGCCGCCCCGCGAAGGATAGCGGGGTCGCCGCGGGGGCCGCCCGGGACTCCGCGAGCCCTGGCGCACCCCGCATGGGGGGCATTGGTCGTCCCCCGCACGTCCGGGGGAGGACGCCCTGTTGCGGCTGTCCTGACTGCGGGCGCGGCTAGGGCCCCTCTCGGGGGTCTCCGCGCCAAACGCAATGAGGGCGCAGCGGCAGCCGCTGCCCAACTTGCAGCTTTTGCCCGGGTCAGTGAAGAAGGTAAACTTTGCAGCGCGAGGCCATCTGCGCCGGTCTCGTCGCGGGCAGGCGCCATGTTTTGCGGGGGAGAAACGGCGTCTCGGCGCCTCCGTCTGAGGGCGGCCGTTGCGCGGCTCACCCCGTGGCAGGTCGTTTCTCGCGGGCGCCCGCGCTGCCCTGCGACGCGCGTCTAGGATGCCGCGGCGTGGGGCGGTTGCCAGAGCCAGCGCGTAGCACTTTGCACCGTTCGCCCTTTTTGCAACGGCCTGCCTGGCACGATGCTCACGCGGCCAGTTCGCGGCGAATCGTCTCGCGCTCGAGGTTGCGCTGGCCGCCTTCAAGTCCGCGCGTCTCGGCGTTGACCGACGCGCGTTCTCGTAGCCAACCGCGCGCGCGATTGGAGTCGCCCATCTTCATCTCGTTGTAGTGGCGCGTGTCTTTCTTCAACGACGGGTGTCTGCGGATCTGGGCACGGAGCAGTGACTCGAGCATCTTCGCGCCCGGTGGATTACGGCGCTCCAATTGTAGATTGTCCCATATCCACGATGAACCGTTGGACGTCGTCGACTCGCATGCAGATGAATTATAGGCGGTCGAAGTCGCGCGTGGCGCCATCGACTTCCGTGACTTCGTGGGATTGTAGCACGGCCAATCGACGCGTCTGCCTTTCGACACGCGGCCGGCCCTGCGCCCCCGAGCTTTGACGTTCTTCGCGCGGCAGCGGGGGCTCAGTAGCAAGGACAGCCGAATGTTCAGCGGCGGGCAGGCAGTCGGCGCACTCGAAGTCACCGCTGCCCTGTCGGGGTGTTCAGCAACGAAGAGACAGGCGCGTGCCTCGGCAGGGCGTCCGGAAGCGCTGCCGAAGTTCACCCTGGCGATTTGTCGCCGCCCTTGTAAGTGAGTAGCGCGCGGCAGTTGAGGAGCGCGAGCAGCATCTGACGCCTGGATCTGCGTGGTGTCACCAAGAGAACGCTGTGATATATCATGCGACGGCATCGGTGGAGTCGGCGATGGCGCGCGCACAGGAGATGCGCGACATGTCTGCATTGGGACTGCTGCAGAGACACCTTTTGGCGGCGTGCGTCGCGGCTGTCCTGCGCGGACGCCACCGTCGGCGAGGTTCGGGGCGACGTCCGTAGTGGTTTCTAGAAGTTGACAGCGGCAGTGGATCTTGGCGTCGCTAACGCGCGCCTTCATGGCAGCTTCTGTGGTCGCGAGACCGTTCTGCAACTGCGCGACGCCCTGCCGGAGACCGCGCGCCTCGTCGTTGGTGTCGTGAGTTCGCTGGGAGCACCAGTCCAGCTGGTGCTCTAAGTCCTGGAACGGTCGGTTGTGCGCTTCGCGCTCTACTTCCAAACGGGTGAGGGCTTCCTCCGCCCGCGCCTGTTCAGCGTCTCTTTCGTGGGAGGTCTGGGCGAGTCGTGGCTGCGCGTGGTCCGCCACCTTCCTTACTTCGGCCATCTCGGCAGCGAGGGGGGCGAAATCGCAAACAGAAGTCGGGGCGCCCATCTGCGCCGTCTGGGCCCGTGCACAATGCAACTCAGCCAAACCAGTTTGCACGCAAGGAAACTGCTGTTCGACCGTGGAAACTCGGTGCTCGAGGGCTGGCACGCGCCCCTCTCATACATCAGAACGTCACGCCTTAGCCATTTCGGCAGTGCACAGCTTGCCGTGCAACTCGGACGTGGTTATGGTACCCTCGGAATGAAATTTGGCAGTGGCCACTTCGAAATGATCACACAACGCAATGAAATCATCACGAATTTGATGATCCATGGTACCATGTACCTCACCGGCAAAAACTCGCCGCAATGTCAGAATATCGTCGTGTAGAGCCCTGGCAGCGGCAGCGCCCGTATCCCTGACGCTCACGAGCTGCTCCTCCATGGCGAAAAAGTAGTCGCGGAGAGTCTGGGTTGCAATGGAGCCAGCACCACTCCACATGGTCAACTTGATATTGGACCTCACTGAGGATCGATCGGTATCCGGCGAGCCGAACGTCGACCAGGGCAAGAGCACGCTGGATCCCTGGCCTCAAATTTGCTCTCTGCGTCGCGCAAGCAACGTCTGTGGCAGCACAACACGACAACTGTTGGGTCGTGTAAGTTTCAGACCGGCGTATGAACTCTGCCAATTCAGCGGCGGATGGCGATGCATGTGGCGGTATGTCACGCCGCAAGGAACTCTGCAGCGAGCGCCGCTGTGAGGGGTTGCGGCTGGTGTCCCGGTGCTGGGCTTGGAAATGATACCGATCGGGGACTCGTTGTGAAGACGTTCCACTACGCTCCTCGATTGATCGCACGTGCCCAGACACGGGAACCGAAGCGGGGTTCGAATGACCTTTGGTGTCCCAGTGACGGCGTCGCGCGGAAGCGCTCGGAGCAGACGTTTCGTTCGCGCCACCGGGGGCGCTCTCACCTGCGAAGGTTGGGGGAAAAGGCGAAGCGAATCCATCGGTGGTTCCGAAGGCCTCCGCGGGTGATCCCACTGGCGAAGGTTCTCACTTAATGTTGGCATCACTGACTGAGCGGTCGACTGTACGCTGGGTCCAAAACCCTGGGGTGTACGATCGAACTGGCACGGAAGAAGGGAAATAATCCACGTCGACCTGCTGCGCGCGTCGAAGCGCGGCTTGGAAGCATGCATCGGCGCTGCCTTTTCCTGGAAAGGGGGACTGCGGTACTACTCCCTGTCCTACAGCCCTATCCGTGTCGTCACGACGCCCACGCGTGAGGCTCAAAGGCGGCGCGGGGTGTCGCAACTGAGAACGTCATGGAAGAGGCTGATAACCTGTGAACGGAGGTTAACGACCAATGAATCGAACCTACCGTAGGGGTCCGCAGGTAGAGGAGTATGAAAAATCATCAAGTGTTTCCTCCATGCGCCCGCGGAAGCAGGGGCGCGAATGATGTCCAATGTCCAATACCTCAGCCGAGAGGATTGCAGGGCATATCGAAAAGTGCGATGAACGGTCTTCACACACAGAAAGAGACCCCCAAGAGGCCTCCAAGAGGCTCCCAGGAAACTCCCTGGAGACCCCAAGACTGCCCCAGTAGGCTTCCAAGAGGTCCCCTCCTCCTCCTCCTCGTCCTTTTCCTCTTGCTCTTCCTCCTCCTCGTCCTCCTCATCCATTTCCAACAGTATCCTCATGTTCGTCTTCCTCACGTGCCCCCCGACGGGTTTCAACGACGGCTGGGGGAACACATGGTCAGATAGTTTGGCCAAGCTCTAGCCCAACTTTCGGCCACATGGGCGCTTCCAAAAAGGCAAGGGGCGGCAGCGATTCTCCGTAGGCGTCTTCGTAATTTGGCTCCACCGGCCATTCTGAGCTATTCGGGGCAACCACCTGCGAAGCAGACGTTCCAAATGAGCACCGAGGGAGTTGGATAGCCCCCCTGGGTGTCTTAGAGTCGAGCCCAAAACAGGGGTCAAAGAACATCTTGGCAATACCGAAGGAGATCCCGCTAGCGGGGACCTCAACGGCCGACAACATGAATGCAGCCCCCCCCGGTACTCCCGACTCCTTCTGGGGGACTCTCTCTTGCAGATGAAACTCTTGGGAGAAGGCGAAGGAGGGAGGAACGAGAATGCCCCCCATCCCGGAGAGAACACATGTGATGTAAGCCACGTTGTGGAATCGATGCGATGTAAGCTAGGTGGTGTAAGCGATGTGGTGAACGCAATGTAGTGTAATCTCACAGCACAGGGCAAGTTCGGGGAACCCACCCAGCGCGAGGGGCGCCCGAGGGGCGCGCGCCCACGCGGCGGCACGGGCAGCAACGTGGCGCAACTCCGGGAAACCCCCCCGGCGCACGCGGCGACCATGTGGCGGCACGAGCGGGAACGAGGCGAATCTTAGGGAACCCCACCCAACGCACGAGCCCACGAGGCGCCCACGAGGCGGCACGGGCGGCAACGAGGCGAACCCTTCGGAATACTCAGCCAACTACCTAAAACGACCAAGTTAGAACTCCGAAGTGCAAACGCTGTTTTGGGAACGTGGCTAACATCAACCATACAAGGTTGACAATCGTCCTGACGTGCCCCATGCACCAATGAGAGATGGAGACCACACGGGGACACCCTGCCCCGACGGCATTCAAAAAAATGTGCGTTCCAAAATCTCCGCGAAGTCGTAACCTTGGCTGCGTCGTTTTCCTTGAAGAAATCAATGAGCAAGTCGGGCGCTGAGAGCCGTGCAACTACCGTTGGCATGGCCATCGCCAAATCATTTGCGCCCAGACATGTGCACAACGAAACAAGTGTCAACAGACCTTACCTGCGGGAGAAATGTGGCGGACCAGGACAGAACATCAATATATGAACGTCATGCTAAACAACATGAAATGGCAATTCTATCATACATATGTCATTCATACGTGTGTCATGAAAGCACACGTTGACGACAGTGCCAACCACACTGCTGTCAAGTAGCACGCTTAAACACATAATCATTTGATATGCTACGGACAGGGCGGTGGTCCTGCCCTGCGAGCATCGGCGCTGTGTCGGCCCAAGTGCTCTCGTGCGTAACATGAATTCAAAAAAACATCTGCGCGCGTATTCCAATACTCGCTGCACGACTCGCCGAAATATTGTTTCGCGAGATCAAACGTAGTGTCCTGCGTGTGGCGCATCGCTGTTGCACACGCATTCGCTTGCATCACTTCAATGCGTACCTTCATCGAAATACTCAATGTGCATGGCTACGATTGGCGTGACACATCAACGCACGTCGTGCACAGACAGGCACATCCAGAACAAAAAAACCTGTTTTGCAGTATGATTTAGCTGGGTTGCATGCTCATGTGTGCACCTTTGCACGAGGGATCTCACCAATCTGCGCGAGACCCGAGTGCGATGCCTGCTACATCGCGGTGTTCACGGGTCTTTGAACAAAAGACGTCTGCCACCCAAAACGGCCAATCCATTCGAGAAGCCTCACCAATCTGGACGGGAGCGTGCCCATGATGCCAACCTGGTCAGTTCCACCTTAGGAGGCCCAAAAGGCGATACAAGTCACGTCAGATTGATCATGGGGCTCTGACAAGAAGATACGCCTACCTCCGAAAACTGTCGTGCAGCTCGAGAGGCTCCACCAATCAGGGCGCGACCATGCCCATGATACCACACTGGTCGGCTCCCCCTTGGGCGACCCCAAACGCGATGCGTGTCACGTATAGGTGATCCATGGGCCTCGAAGAGAGCACACTTGAGAGGCACCACCAATCAAAGCGCGATCATGCCCGCGATCATGTAGCTCTGAAAGGAGACGCGTCTACCTCCGAAAATGCCAATCTACTCGATAAACCCCACCAATATGGGCACGACCATGTCCGTGATACAACCCTGGCGGCTGCCCAATGTGTGAATCTGGATATGAATAAGTCCGAGTGCAAGTGAGTCTGAGAATGACTATTGGGTCTGAGAGGCAACGAATCAACGGGAATGTGATCCTGAGTGAGCCTGCGTGTCCGCCGACTTCCGCGCGCTGGGGGTAGCAAGGCATGCGAGGCAATTGGCTGCCCCCCTCCCCGTTTTCCCGTACCCTGGTTTCAAAGCCCTGCTAGAGTGGGGGGATTCGGGTGGCCCAAGGGGGAGCACGAGCTCTTCAACGCACCTCCTGGACCCGCCGAACCTCCAAATCGTCGCGTCGTCGTCATCGTCGTCATCGTCGTCGTCGCGTTGTCTTCTTTAATAGTCGTTTCCGTCCTCCCCCGTCTCGTTTCCCTGGGCCCTCATCCTTAAGCGCGCGTGCCAAACCGACATTGGGCAACGTCGCAACTGATTCGAAAAGAAGTCCCTTCCCTTTGATCCCTTCCCCGCCGGGTGGGGAGGGGGGCCCCGCGGGGGGACACCCAGTGGGTGGGTCCCAAGGGGGGGATCCCGGGGGGCGGGTCGCCCCCCAGCCGGTCGGTTCCGGGGTCCAGAAAAGCCCTAAGACGCGGCAGGAGTGCCCCAAGAGGCCCCCAAAACGGTACTCGAGGGCCGCGAATTACCGAATTGTCGGCCCAAGACGCCAAAGTAGACGACTCAACAAGTTAGCAAAACGTACCGAAAGGCCTCCAAGAGCACTCCGAAGAGGACCCCAGGGGGCAAACATCATATATTTGCTTGAAGTTCTTTATATATATATAAAACTAGCGTTTTCGTCTCGTCGGCTTCCCGGCACACCAAAACAGCCCAAGAGGCCCCTGATACCGACGCATAGGCCTCCCAAATAACCCAACAGGCCCCCAAGACAGCTCCAAGAGGGAACCCAGACGGGGGACACGAACGGACATGTCGATCCTCCGGCATGAGAGGCTCCCAAAAGGCGCCCAGATGCCCTCGAGAAACGCCCCGAGAGGCCCCGAGAGGCCTCTAAAAGGCTCCCGCAGTTTGAACGGGGTTGGGGGGCCCTTCCAGAAGCTTTGCCGAAAACGAAGCCCATGTCCAACTTTGTTGCACCGTAACAACGATAGTCCCAAGAGCAGGAAATCGTCACGGGAGCGACGGGCCATGTCAAGCGAATGTGTTTTCGGTCTCAATGGCAAGTGGCGTGCCTCGCGATGAGGCCCAATCATACGTTGGCGGCCGGCCGCTTGCGCACAAACAGCCAACGCACACTCGCTATGTCTCGCCTTTGCCACGGCCTCCTTTAAAGTCGGAGGGAGGAGACGAAACGTGAGTCCGCCGCCCGCTATGCAGCAAAACGCAATATGCACAAGGTAGGCAGCAGCAGGCGGGCTCAACAAAGAAGGTTGGCCCGCGCGCAACTGCCGTTGCAAGCAAGTTGTCTCGCACGCAAGTCACCTTGCAGGCGATTGCTCCTGAAGCGGCTCAGACGATCTTGTCTGGCCAGCCCTGTATGGAGCGTGTCGTTTAAATCGGGCTTGAAGGATTGCGTTCCTCCCGTGACCAGTAGGGGCATGTCTCTGTCGATGCTCCCTTTGGTGTGGCCATCCACGGTCATGTCGCGAGTGTCACACCACTGCGCACAATGCACGATACCTCGCTCCATCATCTGTCGCGTCCAACTGATGCGTCCCAAAATTGTACACTCAGTCGGCTTCGTCGGGTCTTTGCTTGACAAAAACTTGAACTTGAGTACGTATTATGCTACGATGGTCAACGTGACCGTAATGCTCGGGTCAACCATCTCCACTATAGCATTCAGCTGAGTGGGTGTAAGCGGCCCTGCGTAGAGTTCTCGAAGAGTGACGATCGTGGGATTGCAGTCCCCCAGGTTGTGGACCGCTGCTTTTCTGCTGAGTAGCTCGAGCGGACCTGCGAGCGGTGAGACTTGCCGCACGCGTCGGCAAGATGGGCGATGGGCTTGCCAGCGTGCGTGCGCCCACGCCGTAGCAGGCTTGCACCGCGAATGCCATTGCCTTCGACCTCGTCCTCGGCATCTCCGCTGAGACGCCGGCAACCGGAGTCGTTGCGCAGATCGACCTCACCCGTTGGAGTCATCGATTGACAGGCGATCTTCTTAAGGCAAGCCTGCAACTTTCTGGTAATCGCGTTCGCTCGTCGCACTTGCACGTCGGTCGTTTCTCGAAACGAACCTGTGCGATTACGGCGTAAGCCAAGGCGCCTCTGAGGCAGACAATCATGTCGTTGGCCATATTCGATGCCTTGGCGCCAGCGCTTGCGCCGGTGAGTTCAGGAGGTTGTATGAGACGGAGCTGTTCTATGTATTCCCCTTGACCAAGTGTAACCCCATCCTTCATGCACCTCGCAGCGTTACATTTGCCAAAAGTATCCTCAACTCACTTGACGTGCCTGTCTATAGCCATATTGATGTAATCAACGTGCTCGGCTGTAAGTAGGTCGGGGCAAGTCTCGAACTCCTCGTCATTGGGCGTGGACCTGAGACCAAACCTCTCGTGGTCTTTCTGAGCTTCAGTGAGATGGCTTCTGGCGCATCCTTGGGGCCGGTGCCTGGCTCGAGGCGCTGCAAGCAGTGCTTTGACTCTTCGAAGTGCGCAAATCCTGGGAGGGGTCTATGCGCAGATGCTGGCCTAGGCGGCAGTGCAAAGCACGCCGCGCCTTCGTTTTTACAAATTGCTTCAGCAAGCTCCTGGCGGGTGAGTCCCTTCAGGGAAGCCATGTTGATATCGAGGGAAGCAATGATCCATCGCTTATTGCGCGCCGCCGCGCTAGCGACTAGTCTCCGACTCGACCGCCGCGCCGTTCCCGAGAAAGCTCCCGCGTCGAAGGCTTCGAGGCCCATGAACCCCCTAAGTACCAAACGTAGTCCAACGGCGCGGTCCATCTCGCCCTTCTCGTTATTGACGAACTTCCACTTGTATGCGTATCTCGAAGCCATGATGTTTGACGCCATTGCTATATCCTGAATGTTTAAAAGCACACGTTGTCAAACCATGCGTTGGGTTCAGTATATTGGGCTTTAGATACCTTGACTGGATTCGCCTGCATGCCGGCCCTCGCGAGGAGATCGCCCCCCTTGACGACTGCAGCTCGTTCGCCTGCAGCAGCCGCATATACTCGCATCGTGGACGCGCGCGGTCGAAGTCCAGCATCTTGCGTTCTTTTTCGGAACGGACTTCCTTTGACATGTCTGCAGTGAAGCAACTTTCTACATATTGTCCATGCCCATCAAAGTCAGATCCTCAAGCGTTGTCTTCGCCCCGCGGAGCGCAATGAGACATGATGTGTCTCCGTCGTGTCTATTTTATGCGGATTATTCCACGTAGGCAGGTGCCCCCGCTAATCTTCCGATGCGGTGGCCAGTGCACTGTTGTCGGTGATCATGTGTGTGGGTGCAGTGTAGGTCGTCGATTGGAGTTGCCCCCAGTAGTTCTCTTTCCTCCTGAAGTTGCGCACCACGCATTCATAATATGTGCCCTGAGATCCGCTCCTGATTCCTCATGAATAATATGAAGCTATCCGCCTGCCTGTGGCGGTTCGGCTTCTGGAGTGTCTCTGGCGCCATTGTCTTGCATCGGTGCGTCAGCCAGTTCTTCGATATTCGTCATGTCTTGGCCGGAGCCCCCTTGTGGTTTAGTGGGCTTCAGGCGCTGGATGACCCTCGAATGTGCTGGACCAGTTGTATCGCATGTCTGTTAAGGCAGCGCCTTCGGCTTCGTAATAGTGGAAGCCTTGGTTCACTTCGTTGTCATAGTGCACCATTGTACAACTGTCCGCATAAGCAACCCGAGGTAGCTCGTGAATGCGATTAGCTAACCTGACGGAGACCACGTTCTCGATGCAAAAGAAATTCCTGATGAGACATTGAAGAACGAAATGTACCTTAGGAGACAGTCGGCTCGCACTTGTCATCTGGAGCGCAGCCACAGGTCATAGCAGGTCGCCCCGCAGGTAGACTGGCTACGAATGCCAACGCAGACCGTGGCGCTGCGTTGTCTGGGCCAATTTCTCGTTCGATAAAAGGCTTCGACATATAGTGAATGTCGTGCGTCGCCGCGCTGGGCTTGTACATCGCTGTCCCCCACTCTTTTTGACGACTTGACCCCTTGTCGGGATCGTTGCTTACGGCCGGGAGAAGTCAATTCCAGTCACCCCATCAGTTGTTTGTAGCACTGGAGCGATGGTAAGCAACTAGATCTCCTTCGACATAGTAGTGCAAACCAAGCATCGCAGTTTTGGTCCGTAGTGCACGATTGGTTTGAGCTGCTGCAATGGCTTTAATCATAGACTCAATGCTTACCAAGCGGATACTCTGTTCTCGAGACTGGTGGGTCGTTTCCGTCTGCTGTTCGTGGCCCAGAACAGGCAGGTCGGGCGGCATCGCTCGGTGCCGTTTAAAAGGTGCGTTGCGTGGAGACACCTCGTTGTAAAATGTGAACGCGTTGGCGGCACGTAAGGCTTCATGCGGTCGGCGTGTGAACACAAGAGGTATGTCTAACCTGTTGGGCCCAGCCTCCACGGCGTGAAGTAAGTGTCGTAGTATGCCAATTATGGCTTCAATTGTCGCAGCGTGTTGTCCACGCGCGCGTATCCTCAGCTCAGTGCCCTTCGTCTTAAAGACTGCCTTTGCGGTGTCGTTGTTAAGTGCACCTCCCCAATCGGAATACTTTGGCAGGTCAGAACTGCATCCAGCCTTAATGATACGCATCGACGATGCGGGTCATAGTTTTATCGGGCATCTCTATTCCAACACCATATCGAACGCAGCGATCGATTATCTGAAATATATTCTGTCCCTGTTTGTAAAACATCAGATCGCGTTCGCTTGCCAGGTAGCGCAACGGACGGCATAACGGCATGCCCTGGCTTATCCCAAGCCCTGCACTCCCGACGTGTAGCACAGACGCCCATTATCAGGCTCAACCTGACGTTGTCCAGATCAGCCTCGGCTTAGACGAGTCATCATGAGCTCT